TTTTTAGATGGAATCTTTCTCTGTTGCCCAGGCCAGAGTGCAGTGGCAGGATCTCAGTTTACTGCAACCTCTGCCTCCCAGTTTTAAATGACTCATGCCTCAGCCTCCCAAGTAGCTGGGATTACACATGTGGGACACCACACCCAGCTAATTTTTATATTCTTGTAGAGAGAGGGTTTCATCATGTTTACCAGCCTGGTCTTAAACTTCTGATCTCAGGTGATCCTCTTGCCTCAGCATCCCAAAGTGCTGGGATTACAGGTGTGACCCACAGCGGCGGCCAGTTTTTTTGTTTGTTTGTTTTGTTTTATTTTATTTTGAAATGGAATCTTGCTCTGTCACCAGGCTGGAGTGCAGTGGCAGGATCTCAGCTCACTCCAACCTCCACTTCCTGGGTTCAAGAAATTCTTCTGCTGCAGCCTCTGGAGTAGCTGAGATTACAGGCATGCGCCACCATGTCCAGCTAATTTTTTTGGTAGAGATGGGGTTTCACCATGTTGGTCAGGCTGGTCTCGAACTCCTGACCTCAGGTGATCTGACTCCCTCGGCCTGCCAAAGTGCTGGGATTATAGGTGTGAGCCACCAAGCCTGGCCGTGTGTTTGTTTTGTTTTGTTCTTTTGAGATAGAGTCTCACTCTGTGACCCAGGCTGGAGTGCAATGGCATGATCTTGGCTTACTGCAACCTCTGCCTCCCAGGTTCAAGAGATTCTTCTGCCTCAGCCTCCCCGAGTAGTTGGGACTATAGGTGAGCACCACCACGTCTGGCTAATTTTTGTATTTTTAGTAGAAACGAGGCTTCATGATATTGGCCAGGCTGGTCTTGAACTCCTGAACTTGTGATCTGCCTGTCTTGGCCTCCCAAAGTGCTGGGATTACAGGCGTGAGCCACACCGCCCTGCCAGTTTTGTTTTTACATAAAGACGCGTCTTGTACTCCTGGACTTAAGGGATCCTACTTCTTCAGTTCCTGAAGTGCTGGGATTACAGGTAGGAGCCATTGTACCCAACTCCCATCTCTACTTTTAAATAACAAACGTGTATATATATAACTTTCATTTTTTTTCTTTCTTTTTTTTTTTTTTTGAGATGGAGTTTTTTTTTTGCTGCCCAGGCTGGAGTGCAATGGCGCCATCTCAGCTCACCGAAACCTCTGCCTCGCAGGTTCAAGTGATTCTTCCGCCTCAACCTCCCAAGTAGCTGGGATTACAGGTATGTGGCACCATGCCTGGTTAATTCTGTATTTTTAGTGGAGACAGGGTTTATCCATGTTGGTCAGGCTGGTCTTGAACTCCCAACTTCAGGTCATCTGCCTGCCTTGGCCTCCTAAAGCGCTGGGATTACAGGTGTGAGCCACCTCATCTGGCTTTGCTTTTCTTTCTTTCTTTTTCTTTTTTGGACAACCTCTTGCTCTGTCGCCCAGGCTGGAGTGCAGTGACGCCATCATTGCTCACTGCAGCCTCAACCTCCTGGGCTAAAGTGATCCCCCCACCTCAGTCTCCCAAGTAGCTGGGACTACAGGCGCAGGCCACCACATCTTATTAATTTTTGTATTTTTCATATACACGAGGTTTTACCACGTTGCCCAGGCTGGTCTGGAACTCCTGAGCTCAGGCAATCTGCTCGCCTCAGCGTCCCAAAGTGCTAGGATTACAGGCATGAGCCACCACGCCTGGCCACGTGTACGAAAACATTATACAGAGGTTAGCATAGCCCCTGAGCAAGGATGACATGCAAATTTGTGAAGCTTTGCATATTTTTGTGATTACATGTCTGTATCAAAATACCTCATGAGGCCGGGTGCGGTGGCTTATGCCTGTAATCCCAGCACTTTGGGAGGCCAAGGCGGGCGGATTACAAGGTCAAAAGATCGAGACCATTCTCACCATGATGAAACCCTGTCTCTACTAAAAATACAAAAATTAGCCAGGTGTGGTGGCACGCGCCTGTAGTCCCAGCTACTCGGGAAGCTGAGGCGGAAGAATTGCTTGAACCCAGGAAGCAGAGGTTGCAGTGAGCCGAGATTGCGCCACTGCACTCCAG